GTACTTGGACCTCATTTTAATTGGTCTGACATTTTGCTAAACAAATAAATCAAAACTCAAACCAAACAAAGAGCCCTTATGGGTTTAATTGGCCATGGGCTTTGTTGGGACCCAATCACTGGTGCCTTCACAGAGTGGAGGAGAGTCTGGGAGGTGTAAAAAGACCTGTCTAATAAAGTCACGTGCTGGACAAGGGGATGCCTGAGCCCCGGGAGGGCACTGTCATGCGATGGCTGCCTCAAAGCACAGCCAGCCTCCCTCAGCCTGGGACTAGGCAGCTTGGCTTTGTACCTGTCTCTGGTTGAAGAACTCTCTTTGAAGATGCTTTATTTTTTTCCCCACATATCAGCTGAAGGGGGAATTACCTCCTCCTCCTTTTGGTCATTATCTCTCTCTCTCTCTCTTTTTTAAATACATTTTAAAAGGGAGATAAAAGGCAGCTCTGTGGATGTGGCATTTTCTTCTGTTAATTACATTTATTTTCAACCAATTTCTGGGAGGTGGCCTGGTACCTTGAAAAGATTACCCATGCTGCTAGAGTCACAGCTAGTCTGCACTGGAAGGAAACGGGGGTCGTCTAGTGACTAGATCTTAGTTCAGGTCTCTCACTGTATGGATGAGGAAACAGGCCCAGAGAAAGGAAGGGACAGCTCAAGGATGTAGAAGCAGTGGGTCTGAGCCAGAACTGGCATCCAGCCTTTTCACTGTGTCTGTGTTCCTTCTACCAAACCATCAGCCCATATAAGCAAATTCTGGCCCCAGCTGGGACTATACTTAACCCAGTGGCCTTGATCTAATCTCTAACGTTGTCTGAGAAGGAGCTATCGCCTACCAACCTCACAAGCAAGGTATGGGAACAGCTTTGTAAACTGCAAAGTGCTGTATATGCAGGCGGCAATGCTGGGCTGTATGCTCAGGCACTCAAGAGTTTAATGCATGCTGAGACTCAGGGAGGAGCGGGGACCACTTAGGCCTGTTGGTTGCCATCAAAGATGTCCAAGGACTTGGAAAACCACTTTCCTGCTCTAATAAACCCTTAGCTCCCTGGGATCCTGAAAATAGTCATATATAGCAGTTCTCCAAGAACTAGCTCGGGAATTTCGATCCCCAACCAGACCCTCAGACTCCTGGAACTCTGGTTTGGAGCTTAGTATCAAGTACGTAGAAAGAAAACATTTAGCTTCCAAAGGCCATAGCATCTCTCATTTCATTCCCCCCGTCACCCTCTGCCAGACACCCTGAGTTCCCTCCTCACCACAGGACATTCATAGGCCTTTCTGCCTCCACACTGTGCTGATTCTGTATCCCCGAAAGGGCATGACCTCCATTCCTACTGGTCCTTGTCCAAATCCTTCTCATCCTTCGAGCCCTAATTAGAGACTATTGCTTTTGTGAAGCTTTTCTTGACACCTGTTTCTTCACCTCCAGAGTTAAAATTGATGACTCTATCTCAGATTCTTTCTGTATCACCTTGTTCCTAGCTTTTTAGGACATTTAAAATTTTGTGTATCATAGTTGTTTTGGGTATCTGTCTATTTCATCTTCAAGATTCTGAATTTCCTGAGAATGGTAGCTCTTACTCATCACCAGGTTTCTAGCACCTAAAACTAATGACTGCTAATTATCGAATGTATATTTTGTGCCAAAAACTGTATTAATTGCTGTGCATGGTCTCATTTAGACCTTATCAATGCACAAAGTCCTACACAGTAATTCCAAACTTACAGGGGAGGACATTGGGGCTTACAGAGATTGTTGTCCTGGACCTCACTATGCAGTGGTAGAGCTGGGCTTTGAACCCAGGGATGTCTGGTTCTAAAGTCCATGCTTTAATCACCGCATTTTATTGACCTATTTAGTGAGTGCTCAGGGAGCACCATTAAGTGAGTGCTGGGTTATCACTGGAAGCTGCAGGGATTAATGGTATAGACACCCCCCAATAGAAGCCAACCACAAATGCCCAGTCTGACACTTAGAGGCTTTCTCTTCTGTTATATTCCCTTTGATAGATTTATTTTCTTTCTTCTGCTCAGGCAAAGTGGGGATTAAGGTCAGTTTGCTCTCTGAGAGTTCATAAAAGTGTGAGGTCTAGAAAGGTAAAGTTATTTTGGGTCAAAACATTCCCGAGTGTGTCAGGGGCATTGAGGCAAACCTTGAAATTGCTTTGCAAATGGTAGATGTTCGTGTGGCTGGCTCTGCAAGTGGGCCATGGTGTGGGCGTTTGAGATGGACTGAGGGATGATGAGGAATGGTTTCCCCTGGTGAGGCCATGGGTGACCCGGTCCTGAAGGTCCCACCTACCTGTGCCCTTTAAATGGAAATCAGAATGGGGGACTGGGAGAACCACTGACAAGTTGAGGAAAAGTGAAAGAGGGAAAGAAAAGGGCAGGCAAGGGTCCAGGGCAGTGGCTGGGGCAGGTTACCTGGAACAGGCACCTGTCTGGCAGCGGCAGGAGGCAGAACAAATGTTCCCAAGAAGGCCAGGCACACCATGGGCTACCCAGTGCCCACTTCCACCCCTCAACTGTGTTGCATTGTTGCAGGAGTGTCCTCTGGCAGCCAGATACAGTGCAGAATCACGCAGGCTGCTACACAAAGACAGTCAGCCCTCCAACCTCAGACGGAGGCCCTGCCCCTGCCGGCCTCCATTGGAGGCTGCTGCCCTCCAATGTCCTTGGCCCTGCCTCTTCCCCTCCTGCTGAGTTCTGGGTGGCGTGAGGGCCTCTAGGATGGCTGGGGCAGGTCACTAGGGAGAGTGGGGCCAGAATGGGCGTTTGTGACAGGAAGGGGGCCAGGAACGGAGGGTGTGTGAGATGGAGTGTGTACGTGGTAAGGCTGGAGAGCAGCCCATCTGAAGGCCACTCGGGAGCCATGAGTGGGTGTTGGGAGGTGCTGCAGGTGATTGGAGGTCCCCTGAGCAGGATGATGTGACCCTGAAGTATGGAGAGACAGCAGCTGTAGGAAAGGTGTGTCGCCAGCCCTACCAGGTGAGAAGCGAAGAAACATGCCAAGGCCTGCAGATGAGGACAGGGGGAGGAAAGGAAGGAGGAATCCAGGTCCAGGTTCTGCCCAGGAGTGACTGGCATGGTAAGAAACTCCCGCCATTCCCTTGGGAAGACAGGGCTCCAGAGGGAAACGCCAGTGTGTGTGTGGTGCGTGAGGTTTTGTGCAGCATGTGTCCAGGAGGTGGCCCTGGATTTAGCAAATATGCCCTTTCTGAACCCCTCGGAACTCTTTGCAGCTGCTGCTGGGTTGCGAAGTGAGGGTAGCATAGAAAAAGTGCAGGCCCGCCAGGGGAAGTGGTTTGCTCCGGGGCCCAGGGCATCAGCAACAGCCTGAGGCATGCAGGGTCTCTTTGAGCACAGCCCAGCTCCTGACCGCTGCATCCTGCGGCACCTGTGACCCCTGCATCTCCATGGAGCTACCACGTGCCACAGAGCCAGCAGCTCAGTGGAATTCCCCAACTTAAAGGAAAAGGCAAACAACAACAGCAAAAAAAGCACGGACGAGTTTGGGAGATGAGGGTTGCGGAGGTGCCTGCCCTTCCCCCGCCTTGCGCAGCCAGAATTAGCCAAGCTCTCCCAGGCTGAGGGATGTAGATTGATTGCCTGGTTTTATTAAGGACAAAGTGCTTTTTGATAGTGTGAGGGAAGCTGCTCCCCAGGGCGGGGATTCCGGCTCAGAGCTCCCTGAGCATCGATCGCTGGGGCTTCCCTGTCTTGTGCTGAGCTGAACTCGGGCTTTGGCAAGCGATAAAGAAGCTATGATTCTTAAAGGCGGGAACTCTGGGGGGAGGCTGGGTGGACCACACACCGGGCTATGCCGTCAGCAGCCTTTCCCACCTGTACCCGGGAGGGACTGCCACTACAAATAACAAGGCTGGCCAGGCCATGAAATCTTTGCCTGCCACTTACTATCCCGGTTGCTTCACCTGCACCATCTGACTGCCTCTTGACATGAAATGTACCAGGTAGGGCCTTATTACGACCCGCGCCCCCCCCACCCCCCCATAGTGTAGATCAGGAAAATAAAGTAGCACGAGGCCAAGTATGCTCATCAAGGTCCCGTCATTAAGTCCTGGCCCCCAGATCCATACTTGGCCAGGTCAGATACTAACACTCAGGCCCTTACAGCCATGTCTCGACATAGGGCTAGATGGATGTGGCCCTTCTGGTGTGATTCCCAGGGACCCATTATACAGGCCCCTGTGGTGTAAAGGGAGAGGCCCAGAGAGTAGGGATGTTTGTATGGGAATTAAGAAAATCCTGGGATAGCAGATAAGCAATGTGCTTCTAAGGCTGTTGAGGCTGGCTCTGGGTGGGGGGATTTAGAAGCCCTGGGTGCAGTACCCAGTTGTAATGAGCTGCATTGCTCCATGGGTATTTCTGAAACATCTTCCTCTTTCCATGATCAGTTCTGGCATGACTCACCACAATTTCGTGAGATTGGTGGGCTGGGAAGGGAACCCTCACACAGGTGAGGGGACTGGAGCACAGAGAGGGGAAGCGACCTTGACTCACCCAAGGTCACTCAGCTCACCAGGCTGATCTGTAATTGGAGGCCAGGTTTTCTGACCATAGGCCGCCCTTCTACCTTTTGTATATGGTATTTTCCTTTCTAAGCTGCAAACGGGTTGTACACAAGCAGGTGTATATGAAGGGGCAAAAATAAATTGTTTGATAGGATTATTCAGATTGAATTGCCAATCTACAGACCAAAGTAAATGAGATGCCACATGACATTGCAGCAGAGCAAATGATGGGCTTATTGTGATCAGGGTGGGGTGAGTTGGGCCCTTTCAGGGTGAGGCCTCTGTTTTGGATGACAGTGCTTTTGAATGCCGCGTCTGAGGGTCCCAAGCCCACCTCTGACTAGGAAGCCTTCCTGCCTCCCCTTCATAGATGAAACCATGGAAAACAAGTGGGTAGGCAGGAAGAGTGCAGAGCCGGGCTTGGCTGTGATTAGGGGGTGCTGGGGGGCCGTGCGGGGGCAGGACTCACTCTTGACTGTGAGGAACATGGACTTGCTGATGTCGGTGCCTACGCCGTTGCTGGCCTGGCAGAGGTAGTAGCCGATGTCCTCTTCTAGGACGTGGCGGATCAGCAGCGAGCTGTTGGGCAGGATCTGGATGCGGCCAGTGAGGGGCACAGGGTGGTACTGCTGGGGGTTCCCGCTCCCTGGAAGAAGGCAGCTGTTAGGAGGGCTGAGTTGGCACCGGGCATAGGCTGAGTGCTCCAGGAATGGCCCTGATGCCTTGTTCTTGCCGATCTAGGGCAATTTTGTAGCAGAGCTGCACCATCCCCAAAGTGCTGAGGCCACACAGCTCCTGGTGGGCAACAGGAAAGACCACCCTCAACCCCCAGAGGCCTGGCCTTGCCCCAGCTCTGAAGCAGGGAGACAGGGTTGGGAGCCTTAGCTCAATGCCCACTTTGACACTGGCATGGAGCTTCTTTGGGGTGAATTCCTTGGAGAGGAAGAAAGAGCTGTCTTTGGGCCAGTTGGTTGCAGGTAGAGAGAAGACTGAGCCGTTCAGTGGCAGTTGCCTGGTCTTAGGCAACCAGGCTGGGGAAAGAGGCTGGCATCCTCCAAGGGGGCCTTGTGGGCACCCCCTGCCCCTCCATTCCCCAGTGTCAGTCACGAACGCAGTCTAGGATTGGGCCTTGATCAGAAAACAAAGGCATCCTTGGGATGAAATTGGGCTCGAAGAAGGACCCTGACCCTGGAAAAGGTTGACAGGTGAGAAGCAGGGGGCTTCAAGGAGTTCCGGGGCTGGAGGTGGGAGGGGAGTGGTTGTGTCTGGGAGGACAAGAGGAAATATGGAGTCAGCATGATGGATGTTCCTACTCCACAGACCCCCAGGGGTGGCTGAGGATGACTTCAGGTCAGGTGTGGCCTGGGGTCCACTGAGGTGCAGATCCGAGGACTCCCACCCGGGGGTAGGAGTTGCATGCAGGGAACAGGTTCAAATCCCGTCACAGCATCCTCCCTTTCCTGTCCCTGCCCTTCTTGGAGATTCTGGCTGGGCCAGGGGCTTACCCTTGGCGTGCTTCCACATGACCTTGGGCGGGGGGTAGCCGTCCACCGAGCAGTTGAGCACACCAGCTTTGCCATAGATGCCATCCTGGTTGTTGGGTTGCACCACAAATCGAGGGGGCACTGTGGAAAGATTGAAGGGAGGGAAACAGACCATTTCAGTCTCTGCTGGGTCTCCTAGGGCTTGGAGCACCTTCCATCTGAGGGCAGCCCTTTCTGAGCTGTGATAAAGTTGGAAGCAGGCAGCTTCTGAAACCCAAGGTGCTGAGAGCTTTGGTCGAGCACTGGGTTGGGAGTTGGGAGTTCCGAGTTCCAATCCTGCCCTTGCCACTGACTAACTGAGCAAGCGTCTTTCTGCTCAGGGTTTTGGTGTCCTGCCCTGGAAAATAAGAGGTTTGGGCTCCAGCAAGGTCCTTCAAAATCATCTTTGAAAGCCCCAAATATGCCCGCACAAGAGACAAGAGATCATTTTTTTTTTTCAAGATCCTCTTGAAGGGCCCTACTGGCGCCAACCTTCCACGAGCCTGTGATTTGAACTGGAAACCTAGAGGGACTGTAGTAGCAGCAGGCAGAGCCGGCTCCTCCCTCCCCCGAGGCTGGCCTGTCCCTGCTCACCTCGCACGATGAGCTGGCGCTCCCTGCTCACGGTGGCCGCCGCGTTGCTGGCGATGCACGTGTAGTTGCCGTTGTGCTTGAGGGAGACGCTGGAGATCTGCAGGGAGCTCATGAATTCCTTGCTCTCGATGGTCACGCCCGAGCCTGAGATGATCACCTGTCCATCCTTCCTCCAGGTGATGCGGATGGGCATGTCCCCCGAGGACACCACACAGGGAATGTAGAGCAGCTGGCCGATGGAGGCGGGTGGGAACTCGAAGGGCTGGATCAGGGGGGGCACTGGGAAGGCAAGGGGGTGCTGCCGTCGGACCCTCGCCTGGTCAGCACCACCTCACCTGCCTTACCTGGGCCTCTGGGTTGGGTCTTAGACAGAGTTCCCCTGGGGCACTAGGGCCTTGTTCTCCTATACAGGCGGGGTCTCCTAATAGTGCCTGGCTCCTGTCCCTCTTCCCGCCCAGGTCGGGACCCACTGTCTCTTATCAGGGCCTTGGCTGGCCTGCATTAACTCTGACTTTCCTATGTGTCCTGGAATTTGATTCATGCCTGCTGACCTCTGCTCACCTTTCCCTCCAGCTTCCCTGCTGCTCCTTGGCAACCCTGTACCCACATTCTCATCCCAGTGATGCATCCCACAGCTCTCTGAGGGCCTGGGATAGAGGTGGGGTGCCCGGTGGCAACAGAGGAAGGGCTGTGCTGGGACTGTCCCCCACGCATGTCCTACGGCTGCCCATCCGAAACCACAGTGCTGCACTCTGGGTTCTCCCACAGGGCCCTTAGCCACTTCGCCCCACTCCATTAGCATCGAGCGTAGGACAGTCACGTGGAAGCTCACATCACTCTGCAGTTGCTTTATACACACGATCTCACTGGATCCTCCTTCCAATAAAGTCCCCATTTTACAGATTAGAAAACTCAGGTTCAGAGCAGAGAAGAAATAGCCCTAGGTTGCCCTGCTCATAAGATATGACCATGGAATTTGAAACCTGGTCTGCTCTCCAAGTCCAAGTCTCGTTAACATGTGGCTCGCTTGCTTCTCCCAGAAAGCCCCAAATATGCCCAGACAAGAGACAAGAGATCACTTTTTTTTTTTTTTAAGACAGGGTCTTGCTCTGTCAGCCAGGCTGGAGTACAATGGCCTGAACATGGCTGACTGCAGCCTCAACCTCCTGGGCTTCAGTGATCCTCCTGTCTCAGCCTCCCAAGTAGCTGGGACTACAGGTGCACACTACTGTGCCTGGCTAATTAAAAAAATTTTTCAAATAAGAGACAGGTCTCATTATGCCTGCCAGGCTGGTCTCAAACTCCTGGTCTCAAGTGATCCTCCCACCTCAACATCCCAAAGTGCTGGGTTTACAGGCAGGAGCCACCACACCTGGTCCAGAGATCTTTTTGTCTTGTAGGTGAGCTCCCTTGGGTAGCAGGAAAAAGCAGAGAGGAAGCCCTGTCCTCTGCAGGGCAGCCTCCGGGCAGAGCACCATCCACCCAGCCTTCCCCCCGCTAGAAATGCAGCCTGCAGCCCCCCACCAACACTGCCTACATCTCAGCCCCTGGGGGGCCTGTCTGGAGCCTGAGTTGCTGTGAGATGGATCCTCCTTTTTCGGCTCTGGCTAGAGCATCAGCCATTATCTTTATGATAACTCAATTAGGCTGCAGCGACTTCCCCAGCAAGTGGGGGAGAAGAGAGTGAAGGAGATAGACAATTAGCTTAACAAGGATGAGCACCCAATAGATGAGATCTCCTTCCTGCAGTTGAATAATTAAATTACAAGGCCGTGCACAGTCCTCTGGCCTTCTCCCAGGCACCAGCCCCACCCCTCCCTGGAAGCCTGCTACTCTCCACCCTGGGCCCATCCAGAGTGGCCACAGTGGGGGATGGGCTCTGGGGGGAAGGACGAATGGCATCAGATGCATGGCCCTCAGCCCTCAGGGCACCCCTGCACTTTCAGGGCTCAGAAGGGAGCTACCTGCAGGGAGCAGCCAGGTATGGACATAGGAAAATTCAGGCAGCCCTTTGCATCCTGGAAGACTTCTTGATCAGGAGCTCTAGGTCCAGAGAAGTGACATTTCGGAGGGATGTGGCCTCTATGACCTTCAGTAGGGCCCTCAGCTGATCTTTCCTATGTCATCTTCTACCCCTTGCTCGCTCCAGCCTGGGCTCCTCCAGCATGCGGTGAATGCCTCAGCCCCATGCCTCAGCCTGCCTGGGCGAGCGCCGCTGGGCATGTGTCCTTCTATTCCCCACCACATGGGCTCCTCATCCACCAACTGGCTTTGATCCACCTTATTCCAGATCCCCCTTGAACCTAAATCCCAGCCAGCTTTTCTGGGGTTCTGGTCATGGCCTGGACCACCTCACCCCAGTCTCTGAGTGCCTCTTTTTCCGGGGGTGGGACTCTGCCCCCTGTATTCTGAGTGGTATATTGGGCCTTGGACATCTTCAGATGGATTTCTCAGGAGCCCTGACTCTAGCAATGGCCCAGTGCCCATTCCTGAGATCTCCTGTTGGGCCTTTGCTGACCCCCTCCTTGTGTGTGTGTGTGCCTAGGACTGATCTAGGCCTCCCGGCCCCCTTGGGCTTTCTGATGGATTGTAGTGGAGACCCAGAGGTGCTGCCCAGCTTGTTTCCTTAGACCTAGAAGAACCAATGCTGGCCTAGTCCTCCTGCCAACAAAGACCTCCTGGGAAACTCCCCCATATCCTTTCAAATCTTGCTCAAATGCCACCTCTTCCGTGAAGCCCACCTTCCTTCCACACAGCCCTGCAGCCTTTGGTTCACACCTGGATTAGGGCAGGTTTCGCACGGTCATCAGGATAACTGCATTGCCCCCTCCCTGGGGGTCTTATATACTAGGACTTATTCACCTGGCGAACTGTAGGTAGCTGATGAATGCTTGTTGGGTGAGGAAATGAATGAACGTATGTCTGAATATCATTTCCTTGGGTGACCTCAGAAGTTCACCTGTGAGGGGGGCAGGGGGTAGAGCAAGCAAAGGATGGGGGCTCAGCCAGAATGAGAGGGGGCTCTGTGCTGTTCCTTGAGATGCTTTGGGATTCTGGAGGCTTGGTCCCTTGGTCCTTCCTAGGGGCCAGGCCCTTGCTGTCAAAGCACCAAACCAGCTGCTGTGAACACGCTTGAACATGAGCGAGGGTACAGTGGAGGCAAGGATGAGGGGCTGGAGAACAGGATGTGTGGGCAAAGCAAGTAGGTGGAAGGTTCTGCAGAGCGGGGAGAAAGCTAAGGGGCTTGGAGGGCCAAGCCGAGACACAGAGGGACAGAATATCACATTTCCATCGAGGACAGAGCCAGTGGATAGGGACAGTGAAATCAGGTGGGAAGGTTCAGGCAAGGAGAAGACTATCTCTCTCAGTAAGGAGGAATTTAGATAATGGAGCAAGTTACTAAGGCAGGTTAATTCATTAATTAACTAATTCATCTAGTATTTATGAAATACTGCTCTGTGAAGGCATTATGCTCTGTGTGGGCTGGGGAAAGTAGAAACATGCTTCCGCTACAGACAGAGCCTCGCAGAGCTTCCCATTTACCAGGGAAGGCAAGATACTTCCCCAAAGATGACTGGACAAGGACCGCCTGGATATGCAGACGCTGAGCTTGAGCAGAGGGCAATGTCATTCGGGGGGATGGATGGAGGAGGTGGAATTCGAACTGAGAGTTAAAGGACACACATGCTTTCAAACAATGTATGGGGTGAGGGAGAGGGCAAAGACTGAGCCAAGGGGTAGAGGCCAACTAGGAGCTGTCGTTCCTTCTGGTCTTCTGAATAACATTGACAGCTCTGAGAGGCCGCTGAAGAAGAAAGTAGCCAACATCCATCCTGGGGAGTTAGACGTGCAGCTGGGCTGGCCCTGTGCTCCCAGAGGGCCGTTTGGAGGCAGATGACCAGATGACCTCCCAGAGGCCCAAGGCAGGCTCCTCACTTCCCTCTACTCCTGCTTCTCGGGCATGGGCAGGTAGATACATGGCTGGTGCTCCAGGCCAGCCACTCACATCTGGTCAGTACACACGCTGGGCAGCCTGGGGGGAGAAGAAACCCAGGGATCCTGGCACTTCCACCAGCCTATTCAGTCCTAGGAGTGCTGTGAGTGGGGTCTCCAAAGCAGAGTGTGTGGATTCCTCCATATGTGTACATGGCCAGTGTCCAATGGGGATGCCTTCTGACCGTGAGTCAGTGGCACCCTTTCCAGTGCTCAGGAATAGTAGCTGGTTGTGTGCGTGGCCATTCCCTCCTCTGGGAAAGCCATTCTCCTGGAGCAGGGTCTAACCACCTGCACCCTGGTGATGACCTGGGCCCTCTTTACTGTGGAGTCCAGCCTATAGACCTGCCCCTGAATCCCAGCATGTCCCTAGCAGGCAGCTGGATGCAGGGGGCATGAATGCTTCACAACATGGGGATTTCTCTCCAGAAGCCCTGCTCTGGCCACAGTCATCTTTAGCAAGGTGCTGCAATGGCGAAGAAGCAGAGGCCCAAGTGGCTGAGAAGACACAGTGGTCGAGGCAGGCTCTTCATTGTCCAGTCACCGTAAAGGTTTTATGGCCACTTGTTTGGGAGTGCCACACGGAGGAAGGCGTGCTGACCACCAGCCCAGCTCATAAACATTTTATTGTGTCTCTCATCATCTCTCTTTGAGATGGAGCCTTTTATTTACTGCACCTGCTAGCAGAGTGCGTGCCGTGGGAAGTCAGAGCTTCTCTGCCCTTGCAGCATGGAGACGGGGCACTAGCCAAGTCTGGACCCCAAAATACCCGGTTCCAGACCATGCTACCCATTCAAGTGACTGTGGGCAAGGCACCTCCTTGTCACTGTCCAGTCTCTGCGCCTGAACCTCAGTTTTCTCATCCGCAAAATGGAGCAGTTGGACCAACTAATCTCTAAAGCCAGATACTGATTTTCTAGTTAAAACAAGTCCCGTATTTTAGGAATAATGACGACTGACTTAAGTTTTTTACATGACCCTCTCTTCTCAGGAAGCCCTTCCCAGATCGCCTTATTTGAAATTGCAAACTCCCCTCTCCTTGGCACTCTCAGCCCCTCTCCTTTTTACAGGAGACATCTCTGGGGTATTTGCCATAGGTTCCCTTTCCTAACTAAAATGTAAACTCCCTGATGGCAGGGATGTTTGTCTATTTTGAGCATAGCTGTATTCGTAGAACTTAACACAGCGCCTGGAATCTAGCGGAGGCACAGTAGATATCACCGAATGAATGACATCCGCTGTCATTATCCTCATCACGAGCCTTGTCTGTCCCACAGGTGATTGCT